ATGGCTGATTAACTGGTATTTGTGAAAAACCTAAATGTTTTTGTCCAGGAAAGCAAAAAATCACAGATAACTGAAGCACTAGTGTATCTCACTAATTAGTGTAATCTCTTTTAAATTATAATATTTTTTTTACTATTATTTAATCACATTATCATGAAAAATTATGAAAGTCATCTTAATCATAAAAGCTAAGCATCGGTCAATCAGTTACACTATATTTCTCCAAATTTCATGTGTTACACGAGTCCAGTTACACTTTTTCTCCTATAATACTTCCTCTTTTGATTCCCAGTTCTTGTTTTAGTTGAATTTAATTGCTAACACAGACATAAATATCTCCTAAATTTTGGCACTTTTTCTGCTATAGACACGGAAGTGCAATCGCACCCTATCAATGCCTGTGAAAATTAAGTCAAAAATTAGTCCAAGTCAATGCTTGGGAATTATTATGAAAAAGCCATTATTAAAAATAGTCTGAAGGGAAGTGAACAATGCATAACTGTGCGACACCCCAACACAACCATAACATGCATCTGTGGTTTAAGGATGCCCGCCATGCAGCATAGAACAGTGGACAACAACTGAAGTTGAGTGAAATCTTTAAGAAATCTTACTTTGTATTTTGTGTGTTTTTGTATACTATGTTTTTAATCACTAATCAAATAAACCATGCTAGAAATATTTTATGTTCTTGTCTTAACAGCTAAAAATAAAATAGGCAAGGCTGGGCTTAAATTGGCCAACTTAAACTTTGAACATGCCAGATCCTGCTCACAAAAAACCCATGGAACACCTGAGTGACAATTTCTCCAAAACATATAAATTATTCTCTAGAACTGTAATGGTGCAATTATTTTGAGAAAATCTGGTGGAAAAGAAAAAACCGTGGATAAGTGAGGATCGCGGATAAAAGAGGCGAGAATAATCAATGCACTAATGTAACCCCCATTTTTCAGTACAAACAGTTTTGGGGCTGGCTCCTAGATCTGAAAATATTTGTTGAGGCCCAACTTAAAAAAATTAATTTTTAATAATTACTGCAATCATCAAAAACAGTTTCAATCTCAATTAAAAATACATGCACAGCAAACATAATTATATTGTCTTTCACCCCATCCCTACATCCTTGAATAGTCTTGAAAGCTTGTTATACAACAGTTTTTAAAATCAGAATTTCTTCATATTCTTCATCGCTTACAAATTTTTGTATAGTATTTTGTTCTTCTATTACTAATTTGTAAAGGAAATTATCATTAATTACTTGATTTTGTAAATACTTTTAGGTCATATATTTGAGATTTATACATTAATTTTATTTTCTCTGAAGTCAGCCTTGTCTGAAAGTTGTGGTAACATCACTAGTCTGTACATCTTAGTTTAAGATTATCATAGAAGTACATCTCAGTTTAGCCCATCTAATAAACTTTCAACAATACATTGTGATCTCAAATCATGTTTCATTATCTTCTCAAATTAGCACAAATGAGTCACACAAATGCAAGACAAAGCTGTACATTAGGAAAAGTTTTATATTTATGGGCAGTGGTCTTCCTAAAACAGGCTAATGTGGTACATCCAATACATAATCTAACAAGTTCCTAGCATCCTAGCTTCAACTGGCACATCCCCATACAATTACTTTGTATGAATAAACATGGACAATAAAAATGTTACATTTAAATGACATGGACAAAATGAACAATCATTAAAATATTTTTGTTATATTTTGTGTAAGCATGAAAGAAAGCATTTTCTGTATGATAACTTTAAATGTTCCTACCTGAACATTAAAAAAGGCTCTGGCAGAGATATCATGGAAGGAACCAAGAACTGAAAAAGACAAGTAAAAAAAAAAAAAAACGAAATTCTTATTAAAAAAATCTTAATGCATTTCTTTCACTCAGTTTCTTGTACAAAAATTCACATCAGTTTAAAAGCTTCATCTTGCACTGATCAACTAAAAAAAAATCAACAAGAAAAATTCCAAAAACTTTTTTATCCAACTAAACATCATCTAGTAGTAAGTTGTTATAAATGAAAAGCCCACTTGATTGTTCTTCAATGCAAATCTACCCGACACACAAAAAAATACCAAGAAAGCTAATAAGGGCTAGACAACGCAGAATTTTCTGTATTAAACTACATAACATTGTAGATGAATGCTCTATTTCAACATGCATATGATAAACCTAAATGTTTTTGAATACCAGTTAATCAGCCATACAAAGCATGCATCCGGTGTAAATAATCATGTCAACTAGTGTATATTTATTTACTTTCACAGTAACGAATGCATGTTAATGATCACATGATATCAACAACCACTTGATAGTATTGCCTGAACTTACCGGCTTTTCTTTCCGTCTAAGTCTAAACATGCACTTCTTGTTTAACCATATCAAAGAGGTTGCATTAATTATGCATATGAAATATATGACTGAAAATGTACTTTCAGAAACTGCAACAACATACTTTTGTTTTGTGCTCAACTTGAAAGTTGTAAGAAGTTTAACAGTGTTTCCTCAGCAAGTAAATTTACCCAGTTTTAAGGGTCAGTACTATATTAAGTCCCCACAAAGTGGAGTAAAAGAGATGCCTAAGGTCATGTGGGAATGATCAACTAAACTCAACAGCAAAAGTTAAAGAGATGGAGGTACAAATATGAGTGAGAGAATCAGTGGATGATTTTAATGATCAGCCAGAGTCCACTAAGAGAATGCAAGTGGACAGATCCATAGGAAGAAGGGACTGTACAAAAGACTAGAGACCTCTGGCTTAAGGAGAAGAGAAAGGCATGAAAGGTAGCTCAAAGTGCACATGTCACAACCTTTTATGGTTACATTCAAAATTTAAACAAGTTACTTTATTATCAATGTATTTCAATAAATTTGGCATTAAAACATAGTTTATAATTCAATTTTAATATTACACAAGTTTTGATAAATGCTAAACTTCACTTCCTGTATAGCATGAGACTTCTTCAGTCCAAACTATTCATAAGTTTCGATGGGATTTCTCACATATACTTTATATATCCCTGAGATAAACTGTTAAATTGTAGCAAGCTTTCTGCTTTATGGAGATATGAGCAACAAAGCAAGTGCCACATGCCATGCCTTGCAGAAAGCATCCTCCTTTCAAAACTTGTCATAAATTCTTTCTGACGATTTCTGGTGTATTATTTGTAAGCAGAAGAAGGATAAGCAGATTTAAACATTTTGGCACTATTTTCTTTAAATGTCACCTGTTTGACCAGGTATAGGAATTATTTTAAGCCATTTCTATGTTTGTTAGAAAGTCAGGTAAATTATACAAGTTTTTAGACATTCTATTTTTTTTTTTTATGACTAGAAATATTTCATATTCTGAATTGGATAATTTTATAAATAAAATTTCTGAAACCACACTATTATGTTGATATTAATGGTAATGTTTTGACAATACCTTGGATTGAATGAATGCAAAAGTTTCAATAAAATATTTCTGGTATAAGTGTAAAATTTCTTTTTTTATTATTCGTATTTTTTATTTGTTATTATAAAATTAACGAGTGTAAAAAACAGAAACTTATGGTAGGTAATTTTAAGAGAGATAAACAAAATACTCGTGATCAATGATAGCACATCAAGCTTCAGCATGGTTTTGAAATTTGTTACACAAAGTTTTACAAAAAAATAAATAGCTACCACCATAGTCTGAGAGAGTCAAATTTGAGCTGCAAATAAAAAAAAACAAGTGAAAAAATCTACTAGGTTAAATATGGTGTAATTGTCTGTTACAATGTGCAAACATTTTAGAATGAAACAAGTAATTTAGATTTATTTCATATTTTCTTGTAATGGTTACAAGGTTGGTCAGATTGAATGAATCAATACAGAGGTAAGATAGAGTTTTTAGAGATTAAACAAATGAAATTTGAAAACTTTCAGATAAAGAAAAGTATTTTTAATCTTCACATGAAAATCACTTTGCACTTCGAACAGTCAACACTCTGATTCTACATATTCACGGACAAATCTTTAGTTAAAAAATACGTGATTACAAAATCTGATTTTTTGTGTACAAAAGATTCGTAATATTTACAAAAGGCTTGCCAAATTTTGTGGAACATTAAAAGTTATAGCATGGAAGTGCTGATGATTACTTCGTGGTTACAAGGTCAGTTTATATGAAGTTTTATTTTTCCCATGACTAAACAAAGACGTATATTTACTCAAAACAGGCTTCAACAAATCTCAGACACCAGGTCGCCATGGTGACATAAAATATCATTGTAACACCTAGTATTTTCTCCCATTTTAATCGTGCATAGGGCTGTGCTAAATAGAACTCTAATCTATAACAGTTCTGGACTCATGGACTATTTTCTCAATCGAGTCCAAAGTTGAACTTTGTTTCTAAGATTTTAATGACAGATTCAATATTTTTTCAAGAATAAAATGCTACACTTGTACAACACATTACTAATTTCACACCATTTTGTTTTTCTTCTTTCTCTCAACTCCAAAATCATGGAAGATATGTGAAACAAAGTATCGAAGGCATCCACTGCATAAAGATCAGATCTGCATTGATCACAAGGAAGAAGGAAAAGGAAATAGGTTTTAAGAGAGAGAGTATATGCAGCAAGTGGCCAAGGGTTCAAATGGGCCTAGGTAAGAGCATGAAGGACCACATCAAGGTTCCAGTTAAGCAAAGAAACCAGATGAGGAGGACAATGAATTACGTAAGACCAGAACAAAGTGGAAAGGGGCAAAAAGACTTAATAAGTGATTAAAATCAGCACTATAAAACAATAATGAACTTAATATAAGGCTTTAAAATATTTTTATATAGTCCACTGGAATTTCCAGTTGTAACCTTGAAGTCATAACAGAAACTGTCTGTGGTGATAGCTCCCAAAAGCATTGGGTGTAACTTGTAGTATCATTATTATTTTTTTCTACTTTAGGAACTATTAGAACTTTTAAGGGTGGAGGTTGGGAAGAACTCTTAATAGAAATATTTTTCGGGTTGTTATATTTTATTTCTACTTTTGGTATTAGTAGAACTTATTAGGGTAACTGCCTTCCCACAACTGGCTGCAGACAGTGAGAGGCAGTAGGAGTTTATATGTTGTGGGTATAAGCACTCAACTCAGCACCCTTAATTGATTTTCCATGATTGCTAACTAGTTTTTCATCAGCGTTTGGATCTTGTCTGACAGATAGGATATCTCCAATGCTTTTGGGTGTTACCACCACAGGCAATTTCTGTTATGAATTCAAGGTTATGACTGGAAATTACAATGGACTTTATAAAATAATTTTAAGGCATATCTTATGGTCTTGTGAAAACCCCATCTCAATAGTGGGCACTTTAAGAGCTAGAGTGGATGGGTTTCATGCTTTCTGTTACCTCTGACTCAATGCAGGTTTAGAAAGGATACCCTAGGAGGCAACACTGGATGAGTTCGGAGAATTGAATGGAGGGAACAGCATAACCATGTACGAATATACAAGAGGTACTTACCCATTAACAACAAAGTCAGCCGATTCAACCGAAGTCGTAACCATTTTGTACTCTTTATACTTTCCATATTATAACGTTTATTGCAGTACATGTATCATCACAAAATCTGGCAGGCTTTTACTAAACATTACAATTCTTATGTACACAACAAATCAGATTTTCTAATGAAGTATTTTTTTTAAAGATTTGTCCATGAATATATAGACGTCTTCTTTTTTTTTTCACAACTGTAAAGTCATTTCCATGTTAAGATTAAAAATACTTATGTCATCTTAAAAACTTAATCTCCAAAAACCTCCTAAATAAATTCCAGTTTTTCCTCAGCAAAACTTTATGTTTTATCTGTTATTTTCTATACCCTAACCCTATACAATATTTACCAATCTTACAACCACTAAAAAAAATATATATATATAAATTACCTTCTTTCTTTTTTAGAATAACTTCAAATTCTCACATGAAACATTGTATATCTTAAAAACTTGTCACAGGATACATCAGTTTATACTTAACTTTTATTGTTTTATTGCCTTTGGAACCATGTCTAATTACTATTTGCACCATAATACGTCATAAATTGCTTGGCAAACATGCAGCTCACATTACGCTAACAAATTACATTATGCACGAGCTACTCATGGGATGCCCGCGATCATACCTCATGAAAAATTATCATATTATTATTTATTTTACCTAATTAACCTTAACTAACCTAAAAACTTACTATCTTTACATTTTATTTACTTTTATAATAATAAATGAAGAACACACATGAAAAACAAGAACTCACTTGGGTCTTTTTTTTATTTTTGCTGTTGCCTGCTGATGACACCTAACCCTACTTTTTTTTTTAATACTGTTGGTAGTATAGGACTAAAAAATTTTATTTAATTAAATAATGCTCCAAAGAACACAGAATAATAACTTGCAACAAACAGAATATGTCCCATAACTATCAAAATTTTTTCTGACTTTCTAACTGTGTGACAAGAGCTATTACAAATTCAGTTAAACTTGTCAATGTGTTTCCCATGAGAATAAAGCTTGAACTCGAAGTGAAACTGACAATTATCTGTATCGAAAACAACTTAATATATCATTTGATAGAGTAAAACCTTGGCTCTCTATTGGTTATAAATAATATGGTATTGAACATCAGAAAGAACTATTGGCAATTTCTGAAAGAGAGGATGTGACACGTGGGCATGCTAAGAGGGGACTGATTTACTATTTTATGGCTCTGTTACCAAATATGATTGAAGACTAAAAATTATGCTTTGCCTGAGTGATGACAATATTATAATGAGTAATTTACATTA